AAGACAAAATAAGGAGATCAAGCAGATTCGAATTGGAAAGGAAGAAATTAAACTTTCGTTATTTGCAGATGATAAGATAGTATACATAAGCGACCCCAAACACTCCATCCAAGAACTCCTACAGCTGATAAACACCTTTAGTAACATGGCAGGATACAAGATCAACTCCAAAAAATCAGTTGCCCTCCTATACACAAAGGATAAGGAAGCAGAGAGGGAAATCAGAGAAGCATCACCTTTCACAACACAAATAACATAAAATATCTTGGGGTAACTTTAACCAAGGATGTGAAGGGTCTATTTGACAAAAACTTTAAGTCTTTAAAGAAAGAAATTGAAGAGGACACCAGAAAATGAAAGGATCTCCCTTGCTCTTGAATTGAGAGGACCAACATAGTAAAAATGTCAATTCTACCAAAGCCAATATATAAATTCAATGCAATCCCCCTCAAGATCCCATCAAAATTCTTCACAGATCTTGAGAAGACAACAATCAACTTTATATAGAAAAACAAAACATCCAGGATAGCCAAAACACTCTTATACAATAAAGGAACTTCTGGAGGCATTACCATCCCTGACTTCAAACTCTATTACAGAGTTACAGTATTGAAAACAGCTTGGTATTGGCATAAAAACAGAGAGGTCGACCAATGGAATCGAATTGAAGACCCGGATATTAACCAACAATCCTATGAACACCTGATTGTCGATAAAGGAGCTAAAAGTATATACAATGGAAGAAAGAGAACATTTTCAACAAATGATGCTGGCATAACTGGTTGTCAACCTGTAGAAGAATGAAAATAGATCCATATCTATTACCACACACAAAACTTAAGTCCAAATGGATCAAAGACCTTAATATCAATCTGAACACACTGAACCTGATAGAAGAGAAAGTGGGAAGTATTCTACAACATATGGGCACAGGAGACCACTTCCTATGTACAACCCCAGCAGCACAGACATTAAGGGCAACATGGAATAAATGGGACCTCCTGAAACTGAGAAGCTTCTGTAAAGCAAACGACACTGTCACTAAGACAAAAAGGCAACCTACTGACTGGGAGAAGATCTTCACCAACCCCACAACAGACTAAGGTCTGATCTCCAAAATATATAAATAACTCAAGAAACGAGATTTTAAAATGCTAATTAACCCAATTAAAAAATGGGGCACTGAACTGAACAGAGAATTCTCAACAGAAGAAGTTCAAATGGCCAAAAGACACTTAAGGTCATGCTCAACCTCCTTAGTGATCATGGAAATGCAAATCAAAATAACTTGGAGATACCATCTTACACCTGTCAGAATGGCTAAAATTAGAAACACCAATGATAGCCTTTGCTGGGGAGGTTGTGGAGAAAGGGGTACACTCATCCATTGCTGGTGGGAATGCAAACTTGTGCAACCACTTTGGAAAGCAGTGTGGTGGTTTCTCAGAAAATTTGGGATCAACCTACCCCAGGACCCAGCAATACCACTCTTGGGAATATACCCAAGAGATGCCCTATCATATGACAGGAGCATTTGTTCAACTATGTTCATAGCAGCATTATTTGTAATAGCCAGAACCTGGAAACAACCTAGATGCCCTCAATGGAAGAATGGATGAAGAAAAAGTGTGGAATATATGCATATTAGAGTATTACTCAGCAGTAAAAATTAATGACATCTTGAATTTTGCATGCAAATGGATGGAAATAGAAAACACTATCCTGAGTGAGGTGTCCCAGACCCAAAAAGATGAACATGGGATGTACTCACTCATAATTGGTTTCTAGCCATAAATAAAGGACAATGAGCCTATAATTTGTCATACTAGAGAAGCTAAATAAGAAGGTGAACCCAAAGAAAAACATATAGTGATCCTCCTGGATATTGGAAGTAGACAAGGTTTCTGGGCAAAAATTGGGATCCTGGGTGTGGGGTGGGATGGGAGTAAGCAGAGATGTGGAGAGAAAAGTGAGAAGCGGAGGATAGGGGAAATTTCGGGGAATGGGATGGTTGATATAAATAAAGTGTGGATATGGGAGCAGGGAAGTATATATCTTAATTAAGGGAGCCATCTTTGGGTTGGCAAGAGGCTTGACCATAGAGGGGCTTCCAGGTGTCAGGGAGATGTCCCCAGTTGGTTCTTTGGGCAGCTGAGAAGACAGAACCTGAAATGGCCCTATCCTATAGCCATACTGATGAATATCTTGCATATCACCATAGAACCTTCATCTGGTGATGGATGGAGATAGAGACAGAGACCCACATTGGAGCACTGGACTGAGATCCCAAGGTCCAAATGAGGAGCAGAAGGAAGGAGAACATGAGCAAGGAAGTCAGGACCACGCGGGGTGCATCCACCCACTGAAGCATTTGGACTGATCAATTGGGAGCTCACCAAGGCCAGCTGGACTGGGACTGTAAATGCATGGGATAAAACCGGACTCTGAACATGGCAGACAATTAGGGCTGCTGAGAAGCCAAGGACAATGGCACTGGGTTTTGATCCTACTGCATGTACTGGCTTTGTGGGAGCCTAACCAGTTTGAATGCTCACCTTCCTAGACCTGAATGGAATGGGAGGACCTTGAACTTCCCACAGTTCAGGGTACCCTCACAGCTCTTTGGACTGGAGAGGGAGGTGTAGAGGAGTGGGGTGAGGGAGAGAGGAGTGGGGAGAAGGGAAGGGAAATGGAAGGTTTGAGGAGGCAGAAATTTTTTTTAATTAAAAAAAGAAAAAACAGAACAATGAATTAAATGTGTTTATTCATTAACAAGGGCTGTATCTAAAAAAGCATTTCTGTTATCTCAACATCTATTATTTCCTTGGCTCCCACAGAAACTGAGCCTAACTTGATTTACAGTTTCATTAAATGTTTTCTAATACAATCTTATGAGTCAAAATATAAACAACCAAGATTATGTCATAAAATGTGATACAGATTTATAGGATTTATTTGTTAGTTACTTTCCTCATTGGTGTGACTAAATATCTAACAAGATGTTATTTGGGGTTCCTTATTTTAAGGATAGTCCAACATGGAGGAGTGTGTGTGACGATAGAGTACCCACATCTGTTCATAAGTAAGCAGGGAAGGGGGATGACAGCAGTCAGAGTGCTTTCTCCTTTTAGTTTTTCATTTAGTTGGAGACACAAGCCCTTCAGGGTGAATCTTCCCTCCACAGTTAAAACTCTATCAATATGCTCTGAAAGACAAATTCAGGGTTGTATCTTAATGTTTCCAAATTCAGTCAAGTTAACCATAAAGTGGATTCATGAAGGTGATAGAATGTGCTACACAATGGGCAAATAACACTTTTCAAGGAATCAATATTCACATACTCATAATTAATGCTAAATATGGCAACACAATGTCTTTCCCCTTGACTACGTTGCCTCATATGTTTTTGTATCTTCTGTACTTTTGTATTATACTAAAACACATAATTACATTTGAGAACAGATCTATAATATCAACTTCTGCATGTAGACTTTTTCTCATTCATCATATAAGAAGTAACTAATTCTCATATTAGAAAAGCAAATGTTAGTTGTGACAAGTGTATACATGCTTGCAGGTATCACATATAGTGTACTAGAGAAATGATATCTGGTTTAACCTCTAAAAAAATTTATCACTAAGCAGGAGATGGTCTATGCTTCTGTGTCTCTAGCTTCATCCTGAGATACAGCAGTTGCATTTTCTCACTCTTCTGGAAACTGAAGGAAAACCCTGTCCAAATATGTGTTCACTGTATGAGGATGATGAACCCTTATTCATTATTTCAGAATATTCTTTAAGTCAGCCATGCTTTTTTTTAAAAAGGCATCAATATCATATTTCCAATGTGTAAGTTCTTAGAGAGTACAGTTTTCTGTTTGCTTTGTTGGATTGCCTGTGTTACAGCATATATCTCTACATTCATGCCTATTCTGGAATAGCCTGTGGAATTCAGTGTGTTTAAAACAAGAGTGCATGAAGTTTACAAGAGTAGGAAAAGAAGTTCAGGGAAGGCTAGGACCATATTTAACAGAGAGATATTTAACATGGTTATGAAATTCTTAAATAATATTTAAAAGTCTTAATACACATTGATGAACTTCAAATATCTCATAAGCATCCTGAACTACGTTGTTTACCAGCTAATAAAAATATTGTCAAGAAAAAAAATGGAGAGAAAGCTACTCTTAGACAATTCTTTGCAGCAGTGTTATCTTCACAGATTGCCCATGTCTACATCTTTGATTCACAGACATAGGTCCAAGATTGCGATTGAATTGTACCCAAAAGAGAGAACATGCACACACACACACACACACACACACACACACACACACACAGGCTAAAATTAGAAACTCTTATTTACAGCCCATTTCTTGACAACTTGAAAAAAAGTCTGCTTAGAGGATTAAAACCGTGTGTAAATGGGAGCTGAGCAAAGCACAGTGGTTAACAGTTTATGTTGTTTTCCAGAGGGTAACTTTCTAGAACTATAGTTGAGCATCTTACAACCATCATCGTTTCTGTTCAAGGAAATCTGAAGCCCTCTTCTGGCCTCAGTTGTTAGTTGCACACATGTGGCATGCATATATAACTGTGTATGTGCTTGTGCACATACAGACACATAAGCATGTTAATAAAGGCAGAATTATAATGTGTTAGAGAAATTGCTCAGTGGTTATATCAGTGCCTCATCCTCTAGAGAACCTGGATTCAATTCCTACTTGGCAGATAGCAAACATTTACAGCTTTGACTTCAAGGAATCTGACAGTCTTTTGGCTTATATGAACTCTATGCATGTCTGTGATACACTTACATACACATATACAAACACATAGAATAAGATAGAATTACATTAAAAACTAAAATCAGTGACCAATTTCAAAAACTAAAATCAAAGAAAGACAGGTGAAAAGAAGAGATAGCATACATTTTGACTCAGCTGCAATTCTGTCTTTTTGACTCACTCTAGAAATACAAGTACATGGTTCACCGCAAATCACAGAAGGGAAGTTATCCTAGCGATAACTTTCTTCAGTGCCTCCTTCATATCCCTGTTCCTTAAACTATAAATAAAGGGATTCATCATTGGAGGAACTATGGAGTACATCACTGAAGCCACTGCAGTTTCCCTTGGTGAATCAATTACCTCTGAGGTAATGTATACTCCAAAACCTGTCCCATAGAACAAGCAAACAACTGACAAATGAGACCCACAAGTGAAAAAGGCTTTGTATTTTCCTTCTGATGATGGCATATTCAATACTGTAGACACAATGTGACTATAAGAGAAAATTATTCCAAGCAGAGGGATGCCAGCAAAAATAGAAGCTGTAACAAATATGAGAATATTGTTAATGAGGCTGTCAGAACAGGCCAGTTTGATGACTTGTGCGATTTCACAGAAGAAGTGAAAGATTTCTAGGTCAGAGCAGAAGGACAAGTGCAGCATCATCAGACTATGCAACAGACCATTCACAATGCTAATGAATAGAGAGATAAGAACCAGAATAATACAGAAGCAGGAGTTCATCAGGACTGTGTATCTTAGAGGGTAACAAATGGCTACATAGCGGTCATAGGCCATTATTCCTAGCAGAAAACACTCAAAGACAGTACAAACTGCAACAAAGAAGCTCTGGCTAAGGCAGCCTGCATAACTGATCCTCTGATCCTGTGATTGTATGTTCACCAGCATCTTTGGAACTGTGATGCTGACTAAATACATGTCATTAAAAGATAGATGACAGAGAAATAAGTACATGGGGGTGTGGAGATGGGAATCACAATAGATAGCCAATATTATAAGAATGTTTCCAAAGACCGTGATCAGGTACATGCCTAGAAAAAGGTCAAAGATGAGGGACTCCAGCTCTTTATCATCTGTCAGTCCACGCAGAAGAAATTCAGAAGTCACAGATTTGTTTTCAATATCCATGCCATGTGTGAATCTTAAGGAGAAAGAGTGGTAAGAAGTTACTGAAACACATGAACTACAAGCAGCATTATAAAATGAGGTTTGTTAGAAAACCATTTTATATGTGCCTTCATCCTTCCAATTTAGCCACCAGGAATGGTGTGTGAGGAAACCAGTTTTAGTTCTACACCAGCCAGTTTGTCCCACCTAGTTGTGGCTATCTAGTTCCTTATATATGCAAAATATCCTGTCCAATATCATCACAGAATGTGATGCCTGAATGCATATGAAGAGTTGCTGTATTTGAAAGTGGCACTTTTTTCTGCTCTGAATGAAATTGCAGCTCCCACTAAAATAGAGTAAGAACAAAAGAATGACATAGACTGAATTTCAGGAGAAAGATTCAAGGTAATCAATGATGGATTATGATGATAATAGAAGTCTATCCGGGTGGATCCTTTCTAATCATTCTTTATATGCTGTTCTGACTTGCCAAGTTTATTATCTCCTAAAACACCTTCTTTATTTTCTAGAAATTAGTTGTAGAGTCTATATTTCTTTTCTAGCTTCAACAAGAATGATGTAAATAACTCACCTCTACATTGCAAATTAACAACTCTCCCTTAGAAATGCAGAAATGCAAATAGACTACATGACAGAACAGGTGCTTCATTAAAAATGAATTAAGTCTGAACCAAGTCTGGGATATTTCAAGAGTTTTCAGGTAGTTTGGAGTAGGTCACAAGCTGAATGAATGATTTCTTAATCTCTGGAGACTCAAGGTCCAAAGCTCCTCATTAGAACAAATATGTAATTGTTATTCTAAACCCAGAAGTTTCAATCCTTAAATATTAGTAATGGAAAGTTTTTTAACACTTGATTCTCTGACCCTGAGACCAGTTGAATGCAAATGAGTTTGCTTCCACACATTAGCATTGTGTACATAAACTATACCAATGCTCTCACAATATTCACACATTCTTTTTGAGGTTCTTTACAAAGTGAAGATTTTTTTAATTATCTCTTTTGTCTATTTTCTATTCTATTTTTTAAACTATGTTCTATTTATGTATGCAAAAATATAAGCTGCCCAAGCTTCTAATTATCATAAAAATTTAAACAAGGTTATCTTCCCTGTGCCTCATAGCTGTTATAGTTTTATTATAGTGGGAAACATTTTTAATAGCCTCAATAGTTTGAGCATTTTTATATGGACCCTGTAACAAACAACTTGATCACCTAAAACTCATATATTGCATTGAGATTTCATCTGTTGACAAGAACTGACTAGTTTTGGCTCTTTCTCCCCTGTTATATGTTAACTTGTTTTAGTTTTCTTTTATATATGTGTATATTTTAAGAAGTTTCACTCTGCTAGGTTTCCATGCAACTTCCCAAATATCTGTTAGTTTTACCTATCCCTCCCTGTATTCTCTCAATTGCCATCCCATCCATCCCCACACTTCATTTTATCCTTCTGTTCCAGTCCCAAACTTCCTCATGTGTCTATAACTGTCTACTCTATTTTCCCTTTCTTGGGAGGCCTTTTCATTTCCTTTTCCATTTCTTCATACTTAACCTCTATGGTTATACTGATTGAATCCAACTAATAGTTGTTTTATCTTTGGGATAGTGTATGTACCTTACTCTACTGCTCTTTCAGCCAGCAACCATGACTTCACATTCAACAGCCTGCTTCTCTGGCAACAGCTCAGCTGCTCAGGCAGCAGCCTTGGCAGGAAATGATTTTGCATAGGCACCAGCTCTGATACTGTTACTAAATGTAGCTTTAACTAAATCTCTATCATGTCATTTATAAATAAGACTTGAGATTCAAAGGCTGGAGTGAAAACCTGAATAACTCAGAGAGGTTCAGGAGCACCTTTTTTCCTAAGAGTCACATGACTCCAAATCCCTCCTTACTACTTCTGATTCAACTATGTCATCCAGATGCCCTCCAGTGCTCTATGATTACTGTCTTTCCACTGGTTGCTAACTCAGTCTCCTGACCCAAGCCTAATTTTATTCAATTAACACAAATACAAACTCAAAGTTCACAGTGTGATTGAGTATCTACCAACATTTCCCCCTTTTTGTCTAACTATAAAGAAAAGGTTTTAACTATAACCTTTAATTATATATATATATATATATATATATATATATATATATATATATATATATAGTATTGCTGTTTTAGAGTTAAAAGACAGTAATCATAGAGCACTGGAGGGCATCTGTGTTGCGCCCGCCACGACCAGCAAGGAAGACGCAACACCAGAGATCTTCTTGCAAGCAGTTTATTCAGGACCTTGTTCTCTCTCTCTCTCTCTCTCTCTCTCTCTCTCTCTCTCTCCCCAGGCAAACCTCTCCCAGCCCTTAAGTAGGCATGGGCTACCAACCCTAGATTGTCACGTGGGCACTGCCCATATGTCCTCGCATATGCAAGCAGCTGACAATCATTGCGTGATAATAGCATGAATCAGGTCTTAGCCAATATTAGGAGTTGATTATCACAGAAAGCACTCGCTTTCGGGATCAAGGAGGGTGAGAGCCAGCACCATCAGGTGCGGCTCCATGCAGCTCTCTACATCGCCATCAGGTGTGGCTCCACACAGCTCTCTACACATCTGGATGACATAAGTGAATTAGAAGTAGTAGGGAGGGATTTGGAGTCATGTGACTCTCAGAGAAAAGGTACTCCTGAACCTCTCTGAGTTATTCAGCTAAGATAATATCTTCCCCCAGCATTAAAATTGCTGTAGGGGAAATTCTGGAAAGCAATATTCTAAAATGCAGTTAAGATTTGGATTCAACCCATCCACATATTCCTCCTGTAATTTTTCTTCAATGACAATCAATTCCTTTTCCACGTCAACTGTCAATTCTCTAGGACTATTTAAGTCTTTATCATCATCTAAGGTTTTGTTTAAATGAACTATTAGATCAGGAGTTATCCCAACAGCTAGTCATAGACTGGAAATGTCCCCTAACAATCTTTGAAAGTCATTAAGAGATCTCAAGGTCTCTTCTAATTTGTGTCTTTTTGTCCCAATTTTCTGTAAACCTATTTTATAACCTAAGCAACTGACAGAATCTTCTCTCTGTATTTTTTCAGGAACAATTTGTAAAGCCCATTTTGGCAAAACTTTCTTTACTTCTTCAAACATTCTTTCTAAGTATCTTCATTTGAATCATATATCAAAATGTTATGCATGTAATAGTAAATTATAGAGTTAGGAAATTTTTTACATATTATTTTTCAATGGCTGACTTACAAAGTATTGGCACAGGATGAGGCTAGTGAGCATTCCTTGTGGGAGGATGGTCTATTGATATCTCCTAATAGACTGAGAATTGTTATAAGTAGGCACTATGAAGGCAAATTTTTCTCTGTCCTTTTTTTGTAAGGGTATAGTAAAGAAACAATCTTTTAAATCAATAAATAGAAGAGGCCATCCTTTTGGTAATAGAGAAGGCAGAGGAATTCTTGATTATAGAGGTCCCATAGGTTGAACTACCCTGTTGACAGCTCTTAGATCTGTCACCATTCTCCATTTACCAGATTTCCAACAACAAATACAGGAGAATTCCAAATGCTGGTTGATTCTTCAATATGGTGAGCATCTAGTTGTTCCTGTACCAGCTATTCTAAAGACTGCAATTTGTCTTCTTTCAAAGGCCATTGTTTAACCCATATTGGTTTCTCAGTTATCCATTAAAAGTAGGGCTGTTGGTACCTCTAAATGTTTTCTAGTTGCTTTGTGTTCTTTTACAGCCTGAATGGCTAGTGACCTTTGTGTATAGTACCTTATAATATAAATAAATATATATATATATATATATATATATATCCTTCCCAGAAATATGAGATACTGGGACTGTGGAAATGTTAATCTGGGTATTCCATTGCTGCAGCAGGTCATGGCCTTTATTGTACAGCAGGTGTTGCAATTGCAACCGGTTGCATCTGTGTGTTGAAGAATAGCAGCTGGTGTCAGTGCAACCAGTGGTAGCACAAAGAGTCCTGAGCCGCTTTGGTTTTCTATGTTGGTGTCTGGCTAAATACTGACAAATATGCTTTGCTTGACAAATTAAAAGCAATTAAATTAATTCTGTACACAGAGCGAGGAGTCCAGAACTCATGAGGAGGAAACACAAACCAGCTGTGGTGGTGTGTGCATGTAAGCTTGGGAAATTTCCAAATCACTGCACACTTAGCTCTGCTGTGGCAGAGTTTTACAAAAATAAATAAATAAATAAATAAATAAATAAATAAAACCACTTAGTAGGTGAAAGCAACCATGGCGGGAGGGTGTAGGAGACGTTCTTGGCCATGAACTCTTTGAGCCTTTTAGACCCATCCACCTGGTAGGTGTGGACTTGGGATTCACATGGGGCACCAGATGAAGGTGGAGACTAAAAAGAAATCCCACACTAGCTCAGAATTGAGTGTAATTGAGTTCATTTATTTAAGGGTAGATTCACAGATCCCAGTCCTCTACTAGTACGGGGAACAGCAACCGAATCCAGTAGCCAGAAGAGAGAGCAGACGGCTTTACATCAGCATTTATAGTTATGAGGCCATGCCCAAGTGGGTGGGTAACTTAAACACTACTGGCTGAGGGATTTTCTACAACATTTGAGGACTTGTTTGTGCCTGTGGCCAGTCCAAGTCATGTATGTCTAAGTCAAAGGCAGATGGAGTTGTGGATTTAAGAGTGTGATCAGCCTTGAAAGGAGCTTTGGGTTTGATGCTTGTTCAAAGAGATGTAGAGTGCCTTAAAAATAAGAGATTTGGAATCTCTGACAACCAGAGCCTTGGCCCTGACTCCTCCAGAGAGGTAAGGGTCTGTGTACCTAGCAGGAAGACACTGCTCTTTAGACAACAGGCCCCAGAGGCATATCCTGAGCCCCACTTCTACATGGCAAAACACCAGCGACCTGGAATCAGTCTCCCCACACCCACAATCATTCGTTACCATGTCTCTGGCTGCCAGAGATTTGTCCATGACTGCCCTGAGAGAGATGAGTATCTG